ACTAGGTCTCCTCCTGTGTGTAGCTGTATAAAGTTTAGGGTTTAGGGTTTAGGGTTTAGGGTTTAGGGTTTTTGTTTGCGGCAGCAGTCAAGGAGGTTGCTCGTGCTGCAGCAGCACCTCTATCTCATTCTATAGATCTAGGGTTTAGGGTTTAGGGTTTAGGGTTTAGGGTTTGTTGCTGGTTGTTTCCGTTCCAGTACTGGGCGTTGCATCGANTAGGGTTTAGGGTTTAGGGTTTAGGGTTTGTTGCTGGTTGTTTCCGTTCCAGTACTGGGCGTTGCATCGATGCTGAGGGTTTGAGTAAACCCTCATTTAGGGTTTAGGGTTTAGGGTTTAGGGTTTAGGGTTTATAAAGAAGACAAACCCTAAACGGCAGCAAAAAGAAAACCCCACATATCCTGTCTTTGTCTTTTATTTATTTATTTATTTTTTTCTGTCTCTCTTCTCTCTTTTGTTTGTTTTTTTATTTGTCTCCTTTCTTTCTTTTGTCTCTTTCTTTCTTCTTTCTCTTTCTTTCTGTCTCCTTTTTCTTCTCTCTTTTGTCTCTTTTCTCTCTTTTGTTTCTTTATTTCTGTCTCCTTTATTTCTTCTGTCTCCTTTCTCTCTTTTGTCTCTTTCTCTCTTCTTTCTCTTTCTTTATTTTGTCTCTTTCTTTCTGTCTCCTTTCTTTTTCCTTCTTTCTCTTTCTTTTTTCTTTCTCTTTCTGTCTTCTGTCTCCTTTCTTTTTTCTCTTTTTTTCTTCTTTCTGTCTCTTTATTTCTGTCTCTTTATTTCTGTCTCCTTTATCTCTTCTGTCTCCTTTCTCTCTCTCTTTCTTTCTGTCTCCTTTCTCTTTCTTTCCTTCTTTTGTCTCTTTCTTCTGTCTTTTCTGTTTTGTCTCTTTCTTCCTTCTGTCTCTTTCTTTCTCTTTCTTTCTCTTTCTTTTTATCTCTTTCTGTCTCTTTCTTTCTTTTGTCTCTTTCTTTCTGTCTCTTTTCTTTTCTCTCTTTCTTTCTGTCTCCTTTCTTCTCCTTTTTTTCTGTCTCTTTCTTTTGTCTCTTTCTTTCTGTCTCCTTTTTTTCTTTTGTCTCTTTATTTCTTCTGTCTCTATCTCTCTTCTTTCTCTTTCTTTCTGTCTCTTTTCTCTCCGCTGTCTCATTTTTTCTTCTTTCTTTGTCTTTCTTTATTCTGTCTCTTTCTTTTTGTCTCCTGCTGTCTCTTTCTTTATTTCTTCTGTCTCTTTCTTTCTGTCTCCTTTCTTCTTTTGTCTCCTTTTTTCTGTCTCCTGTTTGTCTTTTGTTGTTTATTATACCTTTTTTTTGTTTTTATAAATATTTTTCTTCTTTGCATGCATTGGGGTGTATAGGCAGCTCAAATTCCTTTGTTTGTCCCCCCATACATATACATGTATATATATATATATATATATATATATATATATATATATATATATATATATATATATACATATATATAAACATTTTTTATTGTCTTTGTTCTATTTATTTATATTTGTCTCCTTTCTGTTTCTGTCTTTGTTTTATTTATTTATATTTGTCTCCTTTCTGTCTCTGTCTCCTTCTTTGTTTTATTTATTTATTTTTGTCTCCTTTCTTTATTTGTATAAAAGAAAAATAC